CCTCTGCCCACGTGTCCTGCGGACAGGCGGGGTCTGCGCCGTCCCCACAGTTTCATTCTCTAAACTCCCCGTGGGACCAGGTCCAAGTGTGAGGGGCGGAGGCGAAACTCAGGGGAAACCTGAATGTCTGGGGGATGTGCTTGGGCGTCAAGTCCAGGAGGGAGGAGCCTGGGTGTTCTCATGGGAGTTATTTTGGGGGTCCATGAAGGGAGAGTCAGGGCTGTCAGGGGAGAAGAGGAGTGTCTGTCTTTATTTGTTATTTCCAGTTGTGGGGAAAATTAGAAAAAACTGAGCACATACAGGGCCCCCAGTGGGGCCGGCCTTCTCCTCTGTGGGCTTTACTGTTTCAACAATTTTCTGCACGTGGAGTGGTGATGTTGCTGCAGTGCTCTTGTGTGCTGCTTCTGCCTGACTGACACCGCACCTGCAGGGCACCTGGATCTGACCCTTAACACAGGGAGAAGCAGGCAGGAGTGCTCTGGTTTTAAAAATAATACAGAATAACACAAAACTGCAGGACAACACAGAGGTGTCATCTATGAGCAGACAGTGTCACCTTCCCATGTCAGCTCCTCAGGAATATGGGGAACAGGAGCCTCTCAGAGAGGAGCAGTGGCCCCTGGGGAGCTGAGGCCTTGCAGAGGGAGCCCCAGGCAGGAGGCCCCTGCCCCACTCTGCACCTGCACCTGGCTGTTCCCTGTGCTCTGAGCCTCCTGGGCCTCCGCTGTCCTGGGCCCCTGGGGTGCTGAACACACTCCAGAAAACCTGCCCAGCACCTTCCTGTCCCTGCAGGGTTTGTGTCTGGGCTCACACCTGCTCCCCTCACTGTGTCTCTCACACAGTAATACACAGCCGTGTCCTCGGGCTTCAGGCTGTTCATCTGCAGATAAACTGTGTTCTTGGCGTTGTCGCTGGAGATTGTGAATCGGCCTTTCACAGAGTCTGCGTAGTTTGTGCTACCATCTTCAGCATCAATTCCGGCAACCCACTGTAGCCCCTTCCCTGGGGCCTGGCGGACCCAGTGCATGTAGTAGTTGCTGATGGTGAATCCCGAGGCTGCACAGGAGAGTCTGAGAGA